TCCACTATGTCGACTGTATATCAAGACAGTTGACTTACGCTCAAGTTTTAATATCGATTTGTGTGGGAATATTTTTTATAGTTAATTCAATAGTTACGTTTTCAGTTTTAGATTTTAAGATTTATATGGCTTTAAATTATTGACAATGCATGTGTGACATGTTATCATAATGATATTATTATTACATGTAGGCAAATATACGTAAATTATGCTAGTAGGTAAGGTTTCATTCCATTACATGACAATTTGTTACTGACATTCAGGTGCACAAACGATCTTTTAACGACGACATTAAACTCTAATGAATGTTCTAAATTTGAAAATTCGTAGCGGTATGTCGCTTTAAAGTAATGACAATTTTAATGGACATTTGTGGAACTGGGTGTCAGAAGTTATGACCTAAAAATAGTTTTAATATAAACAACACTAAAAATTAACTTAAATGTTGTATGAGATTAAGTAATAAGCACAATTTTGTTAAGTAGCGTTAGCAAAATTGTAGGTAGGGCAACTAGACAGGCAACGATAGTTCGCCTAGTCCTGCAGTTTGCCTTAGTAAATAGAATGTGGATAAGAGAAGAAAAAGTGAAAAGTTTAAGAAAGTGCCTATTGACTGCAACCTTGAATGGTTAATTGCAAAGACATAACTCAGTTGAGTTATTGAGATTAATGGCTTATAAGACAAGTAGTATAGACTCTTAATCCAGTTACAATTTGGCTATAGATATAGCCTCTGCGTATTATTTCATGTAGTTATATGGTTTCAACATATAAAAGTATATAATCTCTGCCTACCCCGCAAGGGTTATGGCGTGAAGATATAAATAGATAGTACATAGAAATATAGAAATATTTGTTTAATATTTATGATCGGTGTATATCTGACCTAATTTGCAGGTCACGGAACGTCGGAACTGACTAATATTATGGTAAAATTTAACCTTGCACGCTCGAAGTATGATCCGTTTCTTATTAACTCATACTACTGACGGTCTTCCATCAGATTTGCACCGAACCTTGCTAATTTATTTCACGGCGAATGATGGGAGCTTTTATCGATGTCTCGTGTCAATTTACTTAGTACCCTTTTCCCTTCTATATCTTCATGTACACAATTAGTAACTCGAAAAGCTGCTCAATAGTCTCATTAAAATGCAGATTAATTATATACATACTAATAACAGTCACCAGAGTACCAAAGATGCGATAAGCGAAATCATACAAAATTTATACGCCTAAACTATATTGTATATACTGCAAAGTACCTACTGCAATAATACCCTATGTGAATAAATAAATTATATTTTCTTTATAATGAGTTTTATTTTTAAGGTTTTTTCATAACTACGAATAACCAAATAGTAATCATTCATCAACGTTACTTACTAAACGGGAATGATTAGTATAAAACAAAGTCGCTTCCGCTGTCTGTACTCTGATATCTTTTAAACTACACAACGGATTTTAATGCAATTTTTGTCAATATACAGAGTAATTCAAGAGAAGACCTTCAATCTCACCAGATCAATAGGTACAAACACATGAAAACCTCCTCCTACTTTTTGAAATCGTATTGATCTCTTCATTATGTATTTATATTACTTACGGTCAGTTGCACAACCGTCCATTAGGGTTTAATGACGCTTTTAAACTCTATTGAATGTCAAATTCGTATGGGTAATGTCGCTTTAAAGTAATGAACATTTTAATGGACGTTTGTGCAACTGGCTGTTAAACTAACTACCCTACATATAATTTGCCACACAATAATGAACTCAAGTTTCGTCTATTTTAATGCCAGTGTCGTAATGTAAGAAGGGATTTAAACTCCACGTAAGTTACCCTAGGGCCCCCCCGTTTTCGGCGAACACGTTACGACTCAAATAGTAGCAACACAAATCAAGGCATCGATTGTTGTTGAAGCTGTGAGCTTTCTTTTACGCTTACGTTCACTTTCAATAAGAGTACGTGAAGATGTCAGTATGGAAACTAACATAGCGCCCCTAGCGGGTGACTATAAAAAGTATTACTTTCTATACAAATTAACATAAAGGTACTATAAAACTCATATTCACAACCGTGATATACGCCACCCTGGTCGATATAATAATACTCGTGTCTCACACGGAAATGCCGGCATAATGGCCTCGCGTTAATATTTAATTTCCTCTAGCTAGACACTGACTTTAGGGAACGTTTGGCCACTAGATCTTTGACTGATTTTAAAACGTTTAATCTCTCGTCTGCGGTACTACTCTACAAATCATACTTTGGGCCTAATTCTGATAATTTTTACGTAATAATAGCATCTCAACTAGTTTCATTTTGCCACTATCTACAATACCTGCAGTCCAATATTATTAGTCCAATATCTTCCTCACAATTATTGGTGGGTGACAGATAAACTTATTATTTTGTGATCTAACAAGATCCGTGTCATAATAAGTTGTACCTAGTTGAAGCGCTATTGACTTTCCATAATTATGCTAACGTTAGCAGAATTGCCTACTGGGCAACAATATTAAAAAACTATGCATCAGACTATGTTTTTCTTTTGTTGAGAACTTTAAAGTGTCTGCCAGTTGTTACCGCCGACTGTTTGGAAGAACTAATGAGTGGTATTTTAGAATATTCTCTACCAGGGTTCAGTCATCAGAATTTAAGGAAAATGAGTAGTGTTTGATATCTAAGTATACAGGTTGTAACATAAAAATCAGTCAGTATGGGAAAATCTGAAAAAAATATGAAAGCTGCATTTTTTACATTTCAGATATTATGTTTCTAACATTAACTGCACAATCGGTATCTAAGTAGAAATAATGTAAGTTTTGTTTTTCACAATGTCTGGGGTTCTATCCCCAAACTGAGAACATTTTTTTAAAGTAGTTTTTCCTTTCACTAAAATAGATGTCACGGTCTCTAAAAACAGCATGTTTTGTGCTTAATTTCGAACGCAACCACGACCGATCGACATTGCGATTGTTGCTCTCGATTGGTTCACTAGCATACTGCAGCGCTAGTGTACCTAATGCGTTCGAGAGTAAGCGGCCTGATCTACGTCTGTTATAGTTTCAGATTTTGCCATACTGACCGTCGTTAATGTTACACCCTCCATAATAACACTACTGTATCCTACATATTCTGTCCATCAGAAAATAAGTAATGCCTGACGAACCGAGATCTTAACTCTATAAGGTGATAAATGAAACAAATCAATTAGCAATACAATAATGAAAACAAAAGTAGATTCGAAATAAAATCCATTACTATTTTTATTATTAATTTTATTTATTATCTAATCCTCCAACGGGCATTACAGTTGCAAGAATAAATTATTTAACGGTTTGTTTACATTATTGCCACATGCATCGTGTCCATGGGTTTGACTGTATATCAGATTTGATCTGTGCATCACGAAGTCTGCACTCCTACACAAGTAAATTGTAAATGTTTGATTGGATAAGTCTATGCAGCTTGCCGGGAAAGCCTTAAATTAGTTCCGAGCTTCGATTGAGTGAATAAATATGATCAAATTCCACCGGGAACTGTATTATGTTTTTGAGCAGTCAAACGTAAGCAGTTATGTAAAAAAAACGTATTAAAACAACCGTAAATCACATATAAAAGACAGCAAATTGTTAATTACGGATTACCTATTGATTCGATTGAAATAAAGTTTGAGGAATCAGTCAGTTTAACAAGCTCGAACTCAAGTGGTCGACGTTACCGCTCAAATGAACAATTTCATTGTACAAAATCCGAACATCTTTCAATTCACGCGAACGAAGCTCCGTTCATACATAGTTTATTTTTTTGTTTTTTCAGTATTATAATATTTTTTTATCTATAACTTACATACTTAATACTTATATCAACGTAACGTGTGGCTCTTGATGTCATTGGTGGGTAGTCTTTGTATGTACACACGTTTTTACAAATTATAGTGCAATTTGGAAATATGCTAAATTATAATTAACACTATAAGAAGCCTGATGTTACTATATATAATGTAATGGCACTGACAAAAGCGACTCGCACGTTTTTCAAACAATAAAACTCTTGTGTTAAACAAAATTATTTTCTTTTGTCAGTATATGTATTTATGATTAGAAAACTTTTGATAGAACGAAAAATACGTGTTTTTCTAATTAATAACATTATATTGCCACAACTTTCTAAAATATATTATTATATTACCGAATTGTATGTCTATGAAACACATCCCAATTTTATAACATATCGGGCTCAAATTAAAAATTATATTATTTACTTACCTTTTGTGAAATTAATGAAGGAACTTAATCGATAATAATCTATTTACTGCCTGGATCTTTAGGTATAAAAGGCTACCTAAAAATATGAAAAATATAAATGAATAAAAAAAAAAGTCAACTCTCCACTCTTGTGAAACACTTTATTCCATGTTTTACAGGTACGGTGGCACAAGAAAAGGAGAATTTAGAAAATAAATCTCGAAATGCAATTTATAAACATTTTATGGCAGAAGGGTAGCATCGATTTACGTGACAATATATTAATTAATACATAATACTCACTTGCCTGGCAGCCATTACAAATACCCCATTCACCATTCTGACATAAAATTAAATGCTCATATACCATCATACTGTGTGTACAAATTATCATTTATTCAACATGTACGCGTGTGAGGTGTGAAATGGTCCGTATGCATAAAACATTAGCTTTCAAACCGTAAAATTCATTTTATCAGATTGTAAAGGTATTCAACCAACAAAAAAATATATAATATATATTTATATATAAATGACAATTTATCAATCTACTGCAACTTAAAGACGATTAAAGTAGTTTTACATTAGACAATTTATTAACCTCACAACATCAGTCGTGATTTTAAAGCGTCTATTCGCTCCGATTCGAGCGGTGAATGTCGACCCGCCGAGGGTTTAAGTAGAATTATGATGGTATGTCCATTCGTCGGTACCTCGGGTGGTGCGGGAAATAAAACTACTCTGTTATCTGACGTACGCCGTTTAATGTGGTCTATAGTTAGATTTGTTACATGCATTGTTCGACGACGGTCCAATGAACATACCAGCATAACGGAGCAGCGACCGTCCGCTACCGAGAAGCCCGCTTCCACACACTAATGCAGATGCCTCGCCCACCTGTCGCGGGATCGATGCCCCGTCTAGCCAATATTGAAACGCGATAACGACTCACTATGTACGGAAGCGAAACTCTTTATCTGCCGAATCGCAAACTATGAAAATATCAAAAGTTCATCCAACGACTAGGGCATCGATCTCGCTTCAATTAAATGTTCCAGTTTACACGTTCAATTTTAATACTTTTAACTTCGTGTGTCAACGTTACAAAACAATAATACATATAGACTTCCACGCAGTGTTCGGTCATCGCGGCATCGTAAGGTATATCGAGACCGGTAGTCCAAAACAACCTCATATTATATGAGCTTGACGTCGTTAATCCGCCAACATGTTTACGTGCACAAAAAGAAAATCTAAACTCTTCCACCAGGCTTTGTAACATTCCCCGATAGGTATATATACGATAATATTTCGGACATCGGTTTCGAACATTATCATTTTTTATTTCCGATACGGTCACGCGTTAAATTATTATATAAAAAATCTGATTCCATTACGCGTAGTTTTATTTAAGTATCGTGTCGGACGATAACGGCACAATTCGCACGCTACATGCACGTACACGTATACGTGTACGTATATCGTGCACGTAGCACGTGTCCGTTCCTTGTACAAGACTTGTTATGACGGTGTGACGTAAGTAGTGTGTTGTAGGCGAGTCGTCGGTTTGTTTGGGAACAGAATAGTGACGGGCGGCGGCGAGGCGACCATTGAATACACCCCTCCCGCATTGTATACGCCCCCACTATAACAATAACAAACACATATTTAATATCTCATCCAGTGGGCTAATTATCTAAATTTATGAAATTATATAACTTTGAAAGTCAAATCAAGACAGATAATAAAAACTATTTTATTAATTAATTCAAAGCTACTATGCCAAAAGCCGAAACTTATAATGTCAATTATTTTCTTCAATTCGTCAGAAGGCCTGCGATTCCAGTCGTTAGCACCCAAAATCCGCACTCGGTCCGCGTCGTAGGCTATGACTAATTCTCTTATGCCTCGACAGTGAGGACACCAACAGGCCGATGATGATTATAAAAAAAAAAACAATATTACACAAACAACACATTACTGCGATCTAAAGTTAAGAAGCTAAAGGGCTCGTGCAGCTAATATTTATTCAAATATATTTAAAAGTAAACCATCTGTAACCTCATTTAGAAGAATTGTGATTTAGTATTTATAACTAGTATAAAACAAAGTTTCTTTCCGCTGTTTGTACACTGAGATCTTTTAAACTACACAACGAATTTCGTTGCTATATTTTTTTATCAATATACCTGTATATTGATATATGATGATTCAAGAGGAAGGTTTATTTTTATAATACAAGTCGCTGTCGGGATCGGAAAGCTAGTAAAATCTATATACTTAATAAGCGAATGGTCACTCACTCGTCACGAAATCTTAAAAACTACAAGTGCTAAGAGTTTCAAATGTTGCAAGCAGGTTCTTTTTAGGACGTAGTTGCTCACTAAGAGTGGATTTTCTGAAATTCAACCCCTAAGGGGGTTAATTAGGGGATGAAAGTTTATATGAAACTTGGTAACTACAAGTGCTAAGAGTTTCAAATTTTACATGCGGGTTCTCTTTAGAACGTAGTTGTTCACTAAAACGGGATTTTACGAAATTCAACCCCTAAGGGGATAAATTAGGGGATGAAAGTTTTTATGGAATTTTCTAATTTCTGGACTTAAAACTAGAATACGCGAGCGAAGCCGCTGGCGGAAGGCTAGTAATAATACATACGTGCAGTCTACATGAAGTAATCAGGCGTCCGCCGTGTGACGTGCGGCTCGCCGCGACGCGGGGCCGGATCAAACTGGAGGCTGCCGGGAACAAAAACGATATACATATCAATGTAATAGCACAACAAACTCTATTTTGTTTATAAATTCTAAATAATAGGTCATAAACTTCATTATCCATTGTGTAAAAATCGAACGAATCGATTTAGAAACCGAGATTTGTATCCCGTTTCTTTGGTCATCACTTTGCGCTGCTAATCATACCAAATTATTTAAAGTTTTATACAAGCACGAGTTTAAATAATAATTGTTAGCTCTTTCTTCAATTTTTTTACTTTGGTAACCCTTACAAAAAAGAAAATAAATTATATTTGTCAGTAAGTTCATCCAATATTCGTTCAACACTCCATTGAATATTATATTGAGTATATTAAAATATGAATCAAATAGTTTTTACTTACAATGAGTACTTAAGCGCATCATCCAATTCCATTATAGCGGCTTGATTACCGCATCTGCAATAAACATATGTCACTACATAAAAACCTGCCCGTAATAAATAAAGATACAATAAAAACATCAAATCAAATATCTGCATAGCTGCGATCTCAGAATAAGGACATTACAAAGAACTGATGCGAAACAATACAGAGAATCGCATTTATTTATTTAATCTTTATTGCCAAATTACAACAAATGGCGGACTTAATACCGCAGGCATTATCTACCAGTCAACTGGTTAAACAGAAAATTTGTAAGACAGGGACAATCAAAGGAACTCAACAAGACCTTAAGCTTCAAAACAACACAGAGCAAGCTTTAAATAAAGAAGATATATATAAAGGTATCTTTTTTTCTTTTTACTACTGGCAATTAATTCCAAAAGCGCACTGCGTACACAATAAAGTAATAGAGCTGTCATAACCGCGAAAACAAGAATTGAGCTTGAAGATGAGGATAAAGTGGATTGTTGTGTGCATATATGTGAGCGTCAAGTGAGTGTTGTAGTGTACTGTACCTATAGCAATAGTTGGGCGCTGAGAATATGGTGACGACGTTCCTGTCGTGGCACCAGTTGTAGCCCTCCATGACGAGCTGGTGGGCGCGCGACACCAGCGTCAGACCGTTGCTGTGGTTAAACGTCTCCGAGATGTCCTGCCCGAACGTGTAACCCGCGCCGCGCGGAGATATGCCCCATCCGCCTCTGTTTATCACACCATATCGCAATGTACACAAACGTATAGTTGTCTGTCATGCAACAGCTAAATTTAAGAGTGCAGTTAATCCAAAAGTCATGTGCGAGTCGGACTCGCGCATGAAGGGTTCTGAGCAAAAAAAAACATGTTTGTTGTATGGGAGCCCTTTACGTACTTATTTTATTCTAGTTTTTAGTATTTGTTGTTGAAGCGGCCATAGAAATACATCATCTGTAAAATTTTCAACTGTCTAACTTTTACGGTCTGTCACAAAACAACACAAAATACGTAAGAGTTAAACATGAATTAAGAAAAAACTTTCAATAGTAAAGAAATAATTTCAAATTTAGTACAGGGAAATTTTAAGACACTGTGTAGCCGAAGACCATTCCAAACTTTTACAATAATCGTAACAATTTGCGTGTAAATAATTAAATTAATTAATTCTAGTTTGGGGATCAGGGGCTCAGAATTCAGTGCTAATTTGTAACCAAAAAAATTCCAGATCATTAATTTATGTATAAAACATGTTCTGTTTTGGTTTTGAATAAAGATTATTATTATTAAAAAAAAGACAACTGAGCGCACAATACGCTTTCCTCTCGAAATCTATCTCATTGATAGGCTGGATGCGGGTGTACATAATTACAGATACAGCCGGGAACGGCTCGATATGCCTTCCGAAGTACTTATGTGTTCAATATTTGTAAAAGCCTTTGTAAAAGTTACTTACTACGCCATAGAAATGTTGAAATACACTGTTTCAATACGAGTTGTTACAAAAGTTGAACGTTATTATCGTATCGAGAAGCCGCATATAGTTAAGAATACCGAATCAATCAATAGTCTTGAATACAATCTCGTTTGCACTGACACACACGACTGTGTGAACATTGTTTTTATGAGTTGCAAAAAGGACAGTACAAAGGCCGTGATGCTATTGTCGTGAAACACGAGTGCATCATTTACTAGCATATTCCATTTGAGCGTAACTTTATAAAAGAGAAAACAAGACAAAACGGGCCTTCCAATGAGATATATGGGTAAAGAAAACTTTATAAACCATAATGATTATTGTAAAATTTCTTATTTAATAACCTTGGATACAAAGTGACTCATATGATTATCAATTTTTCCAATTATTAATAATAAAAAGACTATAATTACGAGAAGAAATAGGTAGACAATATTAGAGGTAACTTTGTGGTTTTTTTTTCTATAAGATAAACAGGAAGCTGCACAAACATCTATTAAAATTGTCACTATTTTAAAGCGACATTTACCATACAAATATGACATTCATTAAAGCTTAAAGGCGTCATTAAATCATAATGGACGTTTGTACTACTGACCGAAAATATTATAAATTCACGTTTTGTCACAAAACCCTTAGAAATATGATGGAATATTCTCATTTCCGATTACACTTGATTTGCACATTATTACAAATACAAAAACAATTAAAGTTTCTTTTTTTACCCGCCCTCTTTATACTGATTTGATTGGTTGGTAACTATATAATCCAACCATAAATAAAATATAAATAATAATTCATTTTTTAAAATACCTCAATTAAACATTAAAAACTAACTGTAAATTAAAAAAATTGGCACAAAAAGAATTTTTTTTTTTCAGCCTAGCGCTAACAAAGTGAATATTTCTGATGAGTAAAATAAATATGGAAGATGGTTACCAATAAACTATAAAGTACTGTTTAACTATGAAGTATATTGATTTTTCAACAAAAGAAATCAATTTGCACAAATGTTATTGGCACACAACAGAGCATGAAGTATTTACAACATGATTATTAGAAAACTACAAGGGGAACCAATTAAATTGGTTTATTAACCTTCCTCAAAAATAAGCGAATATTCATATATTTGGCACATATGTGGTACGAACTTCAACAATGGCTCTGAAGGTTTTTTGAGAACACTCGAAAGTCACATCACAATTTTTTAGCAATGTTTCGTCGAAAAAATCGGTGCAACGTCTCTCATCCGGTTTGGCAGATAATAATCGAGACAAAACAAAGCTGTTCAGTTTCGACGTCACAACAGTGATAATTTCTGATAATTATTGCTTCGTGTGTAAACTATGTTATTATAGGTTAACTATTCAATGGCCTTGATTATTTTCTTATGTTAAATAGGCAGTACTTTTTATTTTTATCCTAATCTCTTGTTTCGGATGTCTACTACTAATCAGTTTTTCATACTTACACGTTTTTCATGGGTTATCTATTTTTAAAATAAAATGTCAAGATTTGTAGATGTGGAATAATAGCAAAGTGCACACATTTGTGGCAAACTACACTAGATAAATAGAGCATTTTAATCTTCATTAATGCCACACTAGAAATACCGTTGTGAAACCGTTAAAGTACACGACGAAGGATAACACTTTACCTTCTCAAACTTTTAACATGTTGTAGCTATAACATAGCTAAAGTTAAAAGGATTGCTTGTTAGTGTGTACGTATGACTAACCTGTCGTCGGGATCGCTCCAGAGCAGGTCGCACATAGGTCCCTCGTGCGGCACCTCTTGCAGGCGGTCGAGGGCTCGGATGTGATCGAGTGTATCGATGGAGGGACTGAGTCCGCCGTGCAGGCAGAATATCTGCCCGTCCACCAACGCCGTCAGCGGCAGGAAGTCGAACAGGTCGGTGAAGTGCTTCCATACGGACGCGTTGCCGTACTTGCGTAGGCACTCGTCGTAGAAACCGTACACTTGGGTGATCTGACGGGACTCGTGGTTGCCGCGCAAAATGGTTATTCTCTCGCGGTATCTGACCTGAAACAATCAATTTTGAAGTGAGTGAAATGTGACATCTTAAGATTATAATTTGATATCAAATCAACTCAATTTATAGTTCATCTAACATAATTGCATTTTTGTGGCTAATGAAGACACCTTTACATTCTTACTAAGAAATAACCTCATTATTTTAAACAATAAATGTAAATATGAAGGTAATTTGTAAGGATATTACAATGCTTATTAACTTCAGTCAGAAAGAATAACTACTTATTATATGAGACATGGTAATTTATTAAAAAAAATACTCCTTTCTCAAGCAACTGTAAAAACCATAGGCTAAATACTTTTGTTCAAAGAATAGAAGTAACATTTAACATGACTAAGCCAAAACGTCATACATTGTTTAGCCGAACTATCATGACGGGTGATCTTGGTTTTGTTACAGATTACCAGCTGTGACCGAGTAGATTTACTTTATGTGTATGTCGCAAAATGTTAATTGAAATATACACATATATGCTTAATACACTGACAATGTTCTTTTTAAAGCATGCTATGTTTAAATAAATTTTATTAAAGATTTGATTATTTGTTGGTTTGTTTCTCTGCATTGAAAAGACTGTATAGACTATAATTTACGCGCGCGAAGTCGCGGAAAAACAGGTAGTTTATTAAACTGTTAATAGTTCAAAAATATTTTTATAGATAGCCAAGTGGCTAATGGTTTAGGTGTTGCGATATATTCGTGGGTTCAGAATGCCGTAATTCAAATGATTTAACTACTTGGGATCTAAGTAGTGTATGAAAATTTGAAAAAACAATATTAAAAACAACGACCTTGTGGGATGGTAACCGAATAACGAATAATATATCCCATTAAATTACTCAAACGCACTTGTTAAACTGTAACCACAATTGCATCGCACTAATATGCTATGAACGCTTTAACATGCAAATGCCCTAAGTAATATTTACATGGATCATTAAAGTGTAATTTGGAATACATTCTTTTCATACAGATTAACTATAAAAAAATCATCCATTAAAAATACCTACGTCCACATATTTGTATGTATATGTATAATATAATATATCCATTAACTCGATGACCTTGCTTGGTAATGTCGACCTACCAGTTTTTTGTGCAAGCGAGTCATCTATATTTTAAAGTCTTATACCTAATTATTACTTTTTCTGTTTCCGTAAGTGTTAAAATTTTTAACACAGGACAAAATTAGAAACCGAAAATGTAATTAACACGATTTTTAAAGAGCGATCAAGTTTAATGAATGCACGTGTGGCCATCAATAAACATTTCAAGGACTTCATTTCCGATTCGCTAATTAAAGTTAACCACAGTGAATGGCACATCAGGTTAATACAAAATTTGAAATTTTCACTATATATTTTTGAAAGTTACTCTATTTCCAACGCGTTATATAAAATCATCCAGTTTTATCAGTTTTGTATATCTGGTGTGCTGTTGTTGTTTGTGTAAAATGAATTAACATTTACCAATACATAATGTAATGGGTTTAGGAATATATGTTTGCCCTCTTCTAAATGCACAGGAGTACGTACTGGCAATCAATATTTTATTTTTCATCAATAATAAAACTCTATTTTTTTACAATGGCATTTTCAAATTCGCGCAAGATCAGCGATATAGAAATGATTAGTACCTCGTTAGAAACAAAATATCCTTAAAAAGAGGAACGATTTGATTGTTGGTTAGTTTGTCTATGGGCTCCACAACTACTGGACTGTTTTAAAAAATTCTTTCACCTACAAGAAGCTACATCATACGCTTGCTATCATTTACGCGGGCGAAATCGCGGGGACAACAACTACGTGTAATATTCCTTTAAATTCTAGCGTAGTAATTAAATGGACATTCGTCCGATATTTATTTTTGTTACAATAGAATCGTTCAACCTCTTAAAAAAAACTGGCATAATTCGTTTTAGGTAATAAATGGATGACGCCCAACTAGTAGTTCAGGCTAACCGATAGTTGGACGCGCCGGCCATTCAGATAGCAAATCTTACGTATGAGTAAATTAACATATTTAACTAAACTAAATAAACTACTTTAAAATTCTATAATTTGTTTTGTGATAAATTAATTAAATTTATTGTACCGAATTGGGCATAGAATAGACTATTACGGCAGATCAAGCGATCAACCGCTCGTACTGTCTAGAAAAGAAAAATCTTAGTATTTTTTACATAGTTATGAAGTAGAGATAATGGATTCCAAGAACCCATTTAATTGTAATTGTGCAATACTTTTGAGAAATCATCTGTGACAGATAGTCAACACCGAGTGACTCTATAAAGATTGCTGATTTCTTTTTGAGATACGAAACCCTAAAAATGACGTATCAAGCATGTTGATGATAATAATCTCAACACAAAAAATGTAAAAGAAAAACTAAAGAATAAAAAATGTATCTAAGTCGGAGCGTATCATAGTTCGGTGAAAGTAAACGCTGATATAATCACTAAGATAAAGATGTAAACAGTGACCGTCTGTTATCGCACGACACTATCACAGATACGTGATAACAAAGTGTTTGCCTCTCACGTACACAAAGAACCGGTGAAATTACTTCTGACGTTTTCTTATATGTATATATATATATATATATACTATGTATTATTTACAAGCAAAAGTTTGAATCATGGCATTTCGTTGACCTCTAGCCTTTGCTTTGGTCGTTTTACTAACCTAACCTGCTTAAAGCTTGACGCAAAGTATAATTTTTGTAAAATTCAAATTTATGAATAAAATGACTAGAATATAACATGTTCATTTTCATCTAATTTAACTGAAAATAGTCATAAAATTTTTCACAACGTTTCACCTTCAACCATTTTTTTATATGTCAAATAATTAGTGAAATTAATATCGTGCATTGTTAATACTATTGCGGCACAGTGGGCGACGACTGCAGACCCTTCGACCGACGACCTTCTATTAGCTTAGTTACATTGGTCTATAACATTCGTGTGCGAGTTGAGAACGATTTATGACACTCGATTTCATTTGCTCACTCGCGGTCATTGTTTTATTGACCGATGAGATAGCCTGCAAAGGAGACTATTTTTTTGTTTTATTGATAACGCAGGGAAAATGCACCGTAAGCCTTAAACCAGAGTTCTCTGACCCCGCACCTGTCCTCAAAAGGTCATAAAGCATGATGGAGCTCGAGATAATACAGTTTTCGCTCATCCATCCGATAATAGGCCTAAGTTTTGTTATTAAACCTCTGAAAAACGAAGACAGAACGCGCTAGTCTCTACGCTATCAAGTCATCAAATCAGGATCAATAGCGACACGGATTATCTGCTTCTGTCTTTTAAAGGTATTCACAAATCAAATTTATATGTACCACTGAAGCCGTATATTTCTTAACATAAACTATATCGATAGTCGGACGTTTACTCACCACCCCATAAGAAATTCCATTAAAGCAATCTATACTTGTTGCGTTATTGAATTATGATGATATACCAACAGGGTAATCGGTATTACCATGTTGGTATATATAATCAGTCAGATAAAATGTGAAATTAAACAAGAATTCGTTGTATATTATAAATATCTGGTACTTTTTTCGAAATCGGGAACATTGTCAGAATATTCAATTATATAATATTAAATAATGTTCGTTCTCTGTCTCGCTCGTCAAAATTGCTAAAAAATAAAATAATAATTCTTCTTTCGATCGAGTAGAACAGAGTACATTATAAATCTAAATATTATTGTATAACTGATATAATTTTTTTCAATTCAATGTTAGTATTATTCAGCATTTCATTACATTTAGAGACTATTTTTATAGTCTTTCAACATTGTAATTTTCAAGGCAACATTTTGACTCGTCGTCAACGTCATGAAATACACAATGGCTGAATTTGTTGGACCAATTCAATCATCGAATATTGATTCCCTGCTAATGAATATAACACGTCAGTCATAAGCAGACTTTTTATTAATTTGGGACACCTATTCGTTTCTCAGTTAATAAAAATTCAAAAACTGATTGAGGCATGACGCGTTCTAATACAGAGTTTGGCTAAAATATACTCTTTAGAGCTTTAATTAGCTCAGTACACAAGTCCACCATCAGCTCAATGCACTCACCCTATTTTTGACGAGTCAAGAGATCGAATTGTGACGCTGGTAGTAAAATCCTAATAAGAATAACTCGAGTGCGATGAACAATCATTGTCAACGTTTAAAACATCCACGACAAACACTTTGAAAGGACCGCAAGACTAAGCAACGCACAAATTTTTTAGTAGTCAACGGCAAAACACAAAACTATGATGCAACACGGCGCATCGCAAGTACTTGCAAATTGATTTGTTATGTTACCTCTGTTATCATGACCAACAAATAAAAAACGAAGCCAAATATCAGTTTATAACTCTTAAGGCGATTAATAAATAGTTACGGTACTATGCAATGTATGTACTGTTTAGGATAAACCATTCGGTATGTTTATAGACCGTCATCGTTCCAAGAATGATCGCCCGTGCGAGCCGCACTTATTCCGCACTTTTCGATTAACAAGTTTACGTAAATATGCTTTCAAATTTAAAATTACATAATAAATAAACATAATCCAGAAAAGAGTAATGCTCGACGAATATTACCTACCTTAAGCGCAACGAGCAATGTGACTGTCTCAACGCTGTAGTATCCACGATCGACGTAGTCTCCCATAAAGAGGTAGTTGGTGTCCGGCGACCGGCCGCCGATCCGGAATAGCTCCATAAGATCGTGAAACTGACCGTGGACATCTCCGCAAACGGTCACCGGGCAATTTACCTCTTGCACGTTTGACTCCTTAGTGAGGATCTCCTTTGCCTGAGAATAGGAAAAAATTAAGATTCAATTTCAAAGAAAAAAACAGGACATTTAAGGCACTGGCCTAGTGTGCCTGTAGTGCATAATAATCTATTTTTTTATATTAATGGTTTCTCTTCCGTCTTTTTCGCAGGCTTAGAGACCAAAAATCACAAGACTGTTAACGGAATTCGTACAAAGAAATAATGTCCAAATAAGCTGTTTAAATTGTGAAAACTACAACATAATAATTCCTAGTGTTTTGGCACAGCTAAAATATAAATTCATCAAATTTTTTCTATAGAAAATTTCCATTTCTTGTAGTAATTATACCCTTTTTATAGATAAAATTGATTATGTGAGTCATTATAATTACCTATGCAGCTATTACAGTTATTATAATAGTTTGAGAGTAATTAAAAACAGTTTAGACGGGTAATGTTGTCATCCTCTTTCCCTATTTAACTTATTGTTTGTATTGCGCAATGTATAACAACAAGACATACAGTCTTTTTGCTTTACGCATCCTCCTAAGCTGAATTTAATTTATATAAATAGGGATCTCTCAACAAGAAGAAGTTACAAATAAGTAGTGTCAATTAAAAATGTCATTCAATCTCCATAGTATCAAATTGACTTTAACAAATATCAGAATAATATTTTTATTACATGACTTGTGAACATGCTAAAGTTGTAGATATTATTTATCATAATGCAAAACTGATTTATGAATAGCCCGTATGATCACCAATCTCTGGGAGGGGAATATTTATTTTTCAACAAAATGAATCCCTATCAGTAGAATATACAATTATTAAAGTTTAGTTTAACTGTTACAACAATAATAATTAAAAATTGTCAACCAAATACAAACTTTGGTTATAAAGACTTTATTTATATTTAATAAATAAAATTGTATTAAAAAACACGTCAATTTTCATTAGTTTTAGTTCAAGAGAAATACAATGAAATACTGAAGAGCAATTCACATTCTATAGCAGCCTTTGAATGCTACTAGTGGATTTTAGAAACAGTTTCACATTCAGGATATGTAATTTTAAGTTCACTAAAGTTGAATGTGAGCAAGATAATTCTTAGGCTCAGTATTCATTGCTCGATACTTTAGAATTCAATATCGATGAGCGATATTGCACGCCCTTATGTACGAAGAATCGCGAGTGTTTACTCATGAGATAGCACAATCTGTCGATATTGGTCACAAATCTCTTCAACATCGAATTGCTCTAGTAGTCGAAGTACTCATTAGTGATGAAAATTGCCATGAAACTTTGCTTCCCTTTTTTGGGAAGTTTACCTAAAAACTTCCCAAAACTTTCCTGAAAACTTTGCTTTCCTTTTTCGGGAAGTTTACCTAAAAACTTCCCAAAACTTTCCTGAAAACTTCCAATGTTCCTGAAACTTTTGACAATTTTCAACACTAGTACTCATCCAGATTGCGATAGGTAAAGGGTTTGTGTCCCATCTCAGAGTGCCAGAGACAAAGTGACTTTATTGAGTATTGTTCATTAAAAACAATTATATGTTTTTAAATACATAAAATAATTATATGAATTAAACTGTGACTGAAAGTAGTGAAAGTAAAGGAATAAAGGCAATCAGGACAATTTCTGCGAAAAGTTTACTGGTTGGTGGTACATGTAGTGTGAAAGAAGAGTATTCTTTCACACTATGTGTATGAGATCAAATAAAGTATGTAGGTATTAATTTACAATGGATACTTATAGTAGGAAAAGAGAGAGTCAGGGATCTGATCAAGAACAATTTTGGCAGGAATCACCCATTACTGATGAAACTTAGATATCCTACTTTACAATTAGTTCAATGAACTCAACCTTGATATCCTTTTGCTGGTCAAGCATGAATTAATTTCATCTATTGTATTAATTTATCCAAGGATATTTGGTCAGTTCATAGAATTTGAAAATTAGCTCCAAATTGATACTTCTATGACATAATGATAGATTTTTTGAAGGTATACCAATATATAAGGACAAATAAATTTATTAACAATAAGTGTGTATCATATTTAAATGATATGAATGACATTTAGTTATCCTGTAAGTTATGAAAATCTTTTCAAAAAACTATTAATAAGACTCTTACATGATATTTAGTATTATTCTGTAGTTTACTAATTTTTTCTTACTAATTATATATTGTCATAGGTAACTAGTGTATAATAAATAATTATTAATAACTAAATGTGAAAGCTATCAGCTCCAGTATTGAAATTTGAAATTTATTATAAGTTTTAAAATGACAATGAAACATAATTACAGATCAACACAGCACAATTATCCAGAGACAATTGGATTCTGATAAAATGATTCAATTATAATGAATCAGATGAGCACAGGTGATTCATCTTTGATCAATAAGCATGAAAAGCAAAACTATGCAAGAAATTACTACCTAGGATAATGAGAGAATATTCAATAACAAACAGATTTATTTAATATCCATTAGTCATTACATTGAAAATATTTGATAAGGGAAGTGTGATACTGGAAGTGGCATTATTTTCATTTAGTATTTTGCTGATTTTATTTTAGTACATAAGCAAATCTTCATTATACTAACTATAACACATATAAAATATTAAGTAGGTATAACCACCACTCACCAAAACTTGATGTAATACGGGACTAATAGTTATTAACAAATCTGGTATAAAACATAAACCTATAATTTAAAATAGAATAAACTATTATATCTATTTGATGATTTTCCAATATAAAATGCTAACTTATTAATATGTATTGTGAGATTTTTTTCTTTTAATACATAAGTATGTTTCTATAAGGAACAACATACTGTAGAGTACAATCAAAATGTATAATGACAAGATGTTTAGACAAGAAATATCAATCTTCATCGCACTGATACTTTAATTAATGATCTAAATGTTTAAGTCAACTTTCGTCTGTACTAATTTATATTAAAATCATTACTACTGTACTAAATGATCTCAATCTATATTTTGTTATTATGCTTTCACAACACATAAAGTTATAGAAGGATTTCATAATAAATTTAACAACATACATAAGAAATAGAATAATTGAATGGCATTCCAAAGTAATTTTAATATAAAAATAAGACAATGTTGCAAAGCATAACACTAAAGATAAATAAAAAGAATAATCAAAGTAAATCAGGGAATAGCCAAGGGCTATGATAAGATGCGCGTCTATGTACGTAGGTAGGCAAGAGGTACTTGGATATAAGAAATCAATGACAGTTTGAGATAAACATTGCGTATACATATTGGAAAAAAAATTTTTGGGTACCTTTTGGCGAATCTATTAATATCTATGGCTAGATGATATGAACCAGGAAAGCCGACTGAAGCTTGGGTGTGGTAGAAAACAATCACATCAAACCAAAACCAACAACAGCGGCGGAAAAGCGTTACAAAAATCATTCAAGATAAAAAGGGACATATTCATGTTAGATATCATTTAACGTACGCAGCCACTTTTGCTATTAGTACTTAGTACGTGAATCATACAATATATAGAAACTAACCCCTAGGAATTATAATATATTCAAAACATCTTACAGTTATCATATATATTAGACAGACATCATAAACGATAATCAATGTACTTTACCTTGTCGCATAACGTTTTTACTTGATTTTCTGTCAATTGCTTGCATTCATTTAGCTGCTCTATCCATTGATCCAGTTCTTTTAACGACGCCTTGTCCTCCATGCTTTGAGTCTGTGATTTAACGTCCGAGACGTTAATATATTTGAAAATGTCTTAAGTTTTTATTGTACACAAAACCATGCGAATAAAATATAATTACACTTTGCCCAGAAAATTGACTACGGCAGACACTTACAAAATGGCGTAGGCACCATTTGCGTGACGTCAATTTTTCTATGGAGAACCACCAAGCGGCAAAATTACGAACTAAGGTAATTATACCAAAGAGAATTGAGTCTTTATCTACCTTGATCTATGATGCCGAATAGGGTGAATTCATCAATGGACATTAACATTTTTTCAAACTACCCTACGTAGTCCCAATTTATTGAAAAAACTACTAACTTCAATTATTAAACCAATAAAACCAATTAATAACTAATACAAAAGGCTACACGTTATCAACTGACAAATAAGAGGAATCGAGGACTTACTTTCAATGAACCTGAAGGCACAACCTTTGCTTTTGCCATATTTTGCAATACTTCAACTTTAGTGTCCATTAAAATGCAAAAAAAAATATACTGTTGTGAAAAGTTAATAGTGCATTAACGTAGTTACCGTTATTTCGTGATTTTTACACATTTTCTTCTAAAAAAAGGAAATAAACTAATAAAATAATTCAGCAAACGACGTTTTAGCAGAAAAAATAATTAAGAATTATGCTCTTTTAAATTTTAATGACAAGATAACTATCAAAGGGAGTTTAAAAAATACTTCTACGGAAAGATGGGATCTAGGAACAAGATATTTCAACAAAGATATTTGTTCCTAGGATATATTTTTTTTATCGCCGTAGATGGAGTAACCATATCATGGATTTAGTACTAAATAACAGGTAGAGGTGGAAATAACTGCTTAAAATTTTTAAGCGTTGTTACGTTGTACGATTTTTAATAAGCGTTTTTGAAAACTGCCTATTGCTTAAACGCTTTTTTTTTTTCAACTGACGTTTGGAAATCTTTATAATAAACGTGCAACATTGTGTTATCACTACATAGTATAAAACAAAGTTGCTTTCTCTGTCCCTATATCCCAATGTATGCTTATATCTTTAAAACGTTGCGTAGTTTTTGACGGATTTTGATGCAGTTTTTTTTTCAGCGATAGGGTGATTCAAAAAGAAGTTTTTTATGTATAATACAAGACCACAATACTATTACCGTTTCTCGACATTTTATTTGCACAATCTTAAAAGTAATGCTGCTCAATAATATTTAGAATGTTTTATATACACACCATCACCTCACAACAAAACTTATTTACACTGTTTCTTTAGGAATAAACAAAAGTCATTACTTTTCATTTACGCATACAATTCAACTTATGCAATTAATTAACATTCAACACAACGTGCACTTACTTCAACACCGAAAAGCGTACTCCTTTTTTAAGTATAAGTTCCGTTAAAAAAGCGTTTGGATCAATCATCCAAAACAGTTGTTGCAAAAAGTCTAGATGGATATCACGCGTTGTAGTATAATGCAGTGCATTTATGTAAAGTGCTGCCCTCTATTAGAAAAATGCCACAACAGAAAAATTTATTGAAGCTAGTAGTTATATCTTGATAGATAACGGGACATACAATAAGCATTAGAATACTTTTCTTCTAAGTGAAAAAGCACTTTTGCACTTATTTAGAAATGTTTAATTAAGTGCTTTTCGTTTAAAAATCCATCTCTAATTACAGGACAGAGTACTTCTAGCTGAAAAGCGAGCCGAACGAGATCAAGTACAAAGCATAGAATACAGAGGCTATTTGTCTCTTTCAAATAGGGTTACGGGTTTTCGTTAATTGAGACTTTTCATATATTTCAGTTTTTTTACTAGTACGACTATTATCGTACACAATAATCCTATTAACTTTAGTTACAAAATATACTTTTATAATTTATTTTAGTTACTACTAGGCTCTTCATATAATTCGATGTAGATTAGCGATGATTAACGACGAATCGTGCGACTATATAAAATGTATATATAGAGAATCGCAAGTGTTTGCTTACTTATGAGATTCATAATCTGACAATATCAGTCATAAACGCACGGTCTGCGATATCACTTTAATGAGGAAGTGTTTAAAAAATAAAAATTAGTTCTTGAAATAATACTAGATGTCACTCGCGATGTTTGGATTTTGTTTATGATATTCATTCAAACTTTGTTTCTAAAGTAATGAAAGTAAATTGAGTATCGAAAATTAATAAATATGACATCGTTTTGTGTTTCTTATAATATCCAACTTTCAAAATAATTTTAATTTATTTTAATCGTAAGTTTAAGTTGTTTATTATGTTACGTGTAAAGGAACGATGTTTGGTTGATACGTTAATTAGTGATGACCCAACTTATTGATTGCTCGTAACCTTCATCCGAATTCACAAAACGAATGATATTAATATAAATATCAAAATCAATTAAGTCTAGGCTGTTACATAGTACTTGTGAAAGTCAAAGACTTTGCCAATGGTTCTACTAAGGCGGGAGATCTTGTACTGACAAGAATGAAATTCAGCAAGGACTGCTTTTTTAATTTTAACTATACTATATTTGAGGGAACCTAACGACCGCACACGACACCACCTCAGAGATTTTAAGATAGCATGACTACTCTAGGTACTTAGTAAATAATATATTTCAATAAAACTGATTTCTTGAGTAGGTTGTGCAGGAAGTCAATCTATTATTAACAATATTATTGTAAAAACCAAAAAGCACATACCCATTGTACCAATTAACTTAACACATGACTTGACGTCCACCGTCGACGTGTAAGATCAGTAGTAATAGTACAATAACTGTACGTGTCTTTGTGATTTTGAAATTTAAAGTCATAACCTTGCTGTTCGTTTAGAACAGACGTTTCTTGTTGTTTGCTGAATGGTTATTAAGATGATTCAACTATGAATATAAGATTAAATAATAGATCATAGTGTTTTAAAGTCTTAATTTCTAAAGCACAAGTTATTTGCACGTTACACTTTGCACAAATATAATTTTAGCCAGAAGTCATGTTATTTTGTACGAATACCCAGTATTTTTTATACATATCGGATAAGTATATAGATAAAAAACGGACTTTTTATTATAATAATCGGTTTATGACTTTTGTTGCTGATTACTAAACCCTATTCATTCATTCACCATACATAATATAAAAATGTTATTTAGAGTTGATGTAGTTTTGTTGTTGTAAGTTCAACAAACAACTAATAGCAATAAAACCAACTTACCTAGTTGTTATTGTTTTCAGAACTTTTTTAAATATTATAATAAAAAATCCCAAAACCTACTATGGCATAAATATTTTATTTATAAAAACTATTTAGTGGTAATATTATTGTATACCGTAGCTAAATACCACTTTTAATTGTATCACAGCATTAATTCAATTGATTTCTATAAATTAAAAAAAAAACCTCTGTGCTCACTTCTATTATGTTAGTTTCCATTTTCCTCTATTCAAATAAAAAAGAAATTTATTCAAAGATTATTTTGTATTAATCGAGTTGCATTTGCATAACTCGAACTAATTTATATCCATCTCGATATTAAGTCGGGTTATCAGATCCACAACAACACTGACAATTCTATTCTCTTTGGTTTAACGTCATGAATTGACGTTTAGATCCAACAATTTGTGCGGAACTCTAAATATCTTGACATATACCAACCGTACGATCTTTCATTCATTTCATTTTACATGTAGAAATTTATTTATTTACTTGACATTGGCAGAATTGTGCGAAATGCGCAGATAAGCCATTAATAAAAGAAGAAGAACAATTTGTGCTGTCATCTAGTAACATAAATTTTTGTAGCTTCTTTATTTTTTTTAAATACTTCCTCATTATAGTTTGTTATACCTTTGATGCTGATTAATAATCCCTATTCATTCATTCACCATCACCACACATGTAATATAAAAACATCACTGAGATTTGATATAGTTTTGTTGCTGTAAATTTGAATCTAGGCATTTATCAATATAATATTTTAAAGTTCTGAAAACAATATCAAATAGGTAAGGTAGTTTAGTTACTATTAGTTGTTAGTTAACTATTTGATATTGTTTTCAGAACTTTAAAATATTATATTGAAAAATGCCTAGACCTGCTATGGCATAAGTATTTTATTTATAAAAACAATTTCACGGTAATATTATTGTATACCGTGGCTAAATGTTACTTTTAATAATTTCACACCAATTCTATCGATTTCCATAAATTTAAAAAGCCTTCTCTATACACACTTCCATGACTTTAGTTTCAAATTTTCTTTATAAAAACAAAGTTATTCAAAGATTCGTTGGTATTACTTGAGTTGCGTTTACGTAGCTCGAATAATTTAATTTCAACTCGATATTAATCCGAAATATCAGATGCATAGCAACACTGACAAATATATTCTCTTTGGTTTAACGTCATGAATTGACATTTAAATCCTACAGTTTGTGCTGCCATCTAGTGACATAAAGTTTTGTAGTATCTTTATTTTTTGTAAATACTTCCTCATTTGAGCACAGAGAAGACAGGATAAGAATGCAAGCAATCAAAATTAAAACTAAACTTAAAAATGTGCTAACTATTTCAAAGGAACTAAATGGAGATGGAGAGGCCATATGATAAGAAAAATAAATGGACAACTGAAATAATGCAATGGTATCCAAGAAATGGTACAAGAAAGAGAGGCAGACGTGGGTAAACGGTCGAAACCGCTGTCTACGGTTAAAACGATGAGAAGACGACATAGACTAGGCTGTAGCTAAGCATGGAGAAAAGTGGAAATCTTTAGAGGCCACCTTTGTCGGAGGCAAAGAGCAAAAGTCGGAGGACAAGCTGCCACAAAGGTATATATTTGCCGAAAAAAATACAAAAACAAATATTTAAATTATTCTAGAATATGGTGTAGTTATAAAAGCTAATTTTATAAGCATTCAAAAATAGAAGAAACATCATCGCTTTTGAAACTTTACGTTTTTATCGCGAAGTGATCCGTTTTCAGCGCTGGGCATTCAATTGAATTTGGATTGTTGAGAGTTTTAAAAGCAGTGTGGTTTTAACGCAAAGCCTTACGTTTCGATTTGTACCTCGTTAAAAACATTTCCACGAGAGCTAAAAAATTAACTCTCCAGTGTATGAGGCCGTACTTACTCTGTGGATTTACTCTATAATAGAGGGAGTGGGAGCAGTGGTTGTCATTTCCGTTTATATCTATCTAGTCTATGGTTACGCCTTTCTCGCTTCCTTTTTTAATTCGGATTTTCTCCCGAGTCGTCGTGCCATCGTTGACTGTCGACGAATTTTAAGATGACTGAAACATTGAAGTTGAGGGGCACTTTGTGCGGGCACAATGGATGGGTGACCCAGATTGCTACAAATCCTAAATACCCAGATATGATTTTGTCATCGTCTAGAGGTAAATTTTATATAAATATAAATAATGCTTTTGTAAGGTTATGACTGTGTACCAAAAAATCCATATGAATCGTCTACATAGGTTCTATCTGACGCCTGTTTCTAATTGTTATCTATGAAGTCTTAGTTACAGAGCTTTTTTATGAATGTATTTTTAAATTTTGTGATGATTAAAATCTTTGCCACGCGAGTCCTGAGCGGCAAGCGGATATGGGGCTGATGTTTTCTGAATGTACATGTGTTGCTGCATTTTTTATCGCATATCATAACAGTGTCTGTTTGAATTCGTATTTCAGACAAAACTCTTATCGTATGGAAGTTGACCAGAGACGAGACTAATTATGGTGTACCACAGAAACGTTTATATGGGCATTCCCATTTCATTTCGGACGTGGTTTTATCTAGTGATGGTAACTACGCCCTATCTGGATCTTGGGACAAGACATTACGCCTATGGGATCTTGCCGCCGGCAAGACTACTAGGCGATTCGAAGACCATACTAAGGTGTGACAGAACTTTGCTTTTGTTATGAATTAGCGTCAATATAGTAGTGTGTCTTTATAGCGCCTTTACGAGGCAGAAGAACAGTGTAGCGCCTTTGCGAGGCAGAAGATTCCAATGTTGGAATGTTATGGATGTGAATTTTCAAATGAGTAAGTAGTTGTGGTTGAAGATACAACTGGTAGTAATTTGAAAATAGTTAATGTTTAGTGAGATTCTAGACCTGATTCTGATGCGCTTTATGTGATTGAATTCTAATTTTACGTTTCTCTATTAGGATGTACTGTCAGTTGCTTTCTCTGTGGACAATCGCCAGATTGTCTCGGGATCACGGGATAAAACTATTAAGTTGTGGAACACACTTGCTGAATGCAAATACACTATTCAAGATGATGGCCACACTGACTGGGTTTCGTGTGTGCGATTCTCACCAAATCATGCCAATCCTATCATTGTCTCTGCAGGGTGGGACCGCACTGTTAAGGTTTGTTTCTTATCTACGCCCATCAACATATGAAAGTAACAATGAAATGAAAAGTATTTTTGTTTGTTTCAAAGATATAACAATTCAAATATTTCATTTTACAGGTTTGGCACTTGACTAACTGCAAACTAAAGATCAATCACTTGGGCCATTCTGGTTACTTAAACACAGTCACAGTCTCCCCTGATGGTTCTCTTTGTGCTTCCGGAGGCAAAGACATGAAGGCGATGCTTTGGGATCTTAATGATGGCAAACACCTTCACACCTTGGATCATAATGATATTATCACAGCTCTGTGCTTTTCACCCAACAGATACTGGCTATGTGCAGCCTTTGGACCTTCCATCAAAATTTGGGTGAGTTGAAGGTCACTTAAATCAATAGGATAATATAGTAGTATTCTGACATGCTAAAAATAATGGGTTTTTATGGGTGTATGAATAATTTGTATTATTTTTTTTTTTGTTCATAGGATTTGGAAAGCAAGGAAATGGTTGAAGAGTTGAGACCAGAAATCATTAATCAGACCCAAACTTCAAAGTCAGATCCACCCCAGTGTCTTTCTTTGGCATGGTCGACAGATGGACAAACTCTTTTTGCTGGATATTCTGACAACATTATCAGAGTCTGGCAGGTTTCAGTCTCCGCACGATAATAAGTTGATCAGAAGGATTTCATTTATTTTTGTTCAAGGTTTATTGTAGGATAAAAATAAATGGAATTGTATGTGAAAATATCTATTTTTATTTGATCTCTTTATGTAGGTTAATTACGCAAGTTATTATGTGATAAGTTATGATTCGGTTTACAAAAACAAATGTTCTTTATTATGTAAATAAAGAGAAGTGAACTTTGAAAATTTCTTATTACTGAATATATCATCATGGTGAATAATAGTATTTTAGTTTAGTCTGATCTGTCATTTATATCCATTTATTGATAGGTACATATCAAACAAAGTTCAACTTTCCATAGAAAATATTCAATGCCTCATTAGCTGCACTGGTGCTGGTGAGGCTATTCTATGGTTTTAAGGATATATCACAAAAATATCATTGCCTGGATTTTGATCTAGATCTGGAAAATAAAATTATATCCGAGGATATTAAAGATTTTGAGATGAACTGGACTATACTTTCTGTATGATTCACCACAGTAGGTTGTGATAGGATATTTTTGTATTCCTTACCTCTAAAGGAAAAAATGGAACCTTTATAGGATCACTTGTCTGTCTGTCCCACTTGTCCCCCTTTTTCTTTTTCTCGTGAAAGGGCGAGGTGAGGTGAAGAACGCGTGGATGTATCAAGCTGAAATATAAAATGTTCAGTAGGCCAATTCTACTAACTTGCAATTTTACATTCAATTGTTATCTTATATTACAGATATATTGTAATATTGCGACTTCAGGCAGATAATACGACAGATGAAGTCGTTGAGATGCAATTATTACGTATACATTAGCAGAATTGTCATACTGGAATTTGAGCTGTGAAAAAATCAAACTTCTAGGCCAACTCTATCAAAAGACAGCCGTTTTTGCTTCAAATTTTCGAGCCTCGCTAGGGAATCTAAACATAGAGTATCTTTGTATACTGGAAATAGAGAACAAACTCATTGCCTTTTTGTGGTAACAAGTTACTAACGCCATCTATCCACCTGACCATACAACTTTTCAGAAACTATTTAATATGCTAGATGGCGCTAGTATGCCTACTAACAATATAGTTCTATAACATTTTTTCCTTCAATGGGATTTGTTGAAGTTATTTAAACAAATCCCATTGAAGGAAAAATCTCGACGAAAAGGGTTTTTAAAATAAAACGAATTGTCAAGTTGCTTGTTTTATATTTAAGAAATTTTACATAGTATAATTTAAAAATAACGCGATTAAGCCATATATTTTAGCGAACTTTGTTATTCAAAAGGTATCTTTAATGTGGACTATTAAAATAGAATTACACACAGAAGAGTTAGCTGTGTAAGTCTATGACAACTATAATTATGATTAGGAATAACAACATCACCAATCATTGTGTGTGAAGTTACTAAAACTGGATCTATTTGAAACTAATTATTTGATTTCCTTTACAATTCAATATTTAGTAAAAAATACTTGAGTAGTACGAATTTCAAACAAACTTTTAAGCAAGGTCATTGGAAAATATTTTCTTCGCCAGAAAAAATTATATGTTAAAAGCAGAGTGAAGGAGATATTTGAGCTTGGTAGTAAAAGCCTGATGTAAATAATTTCTAGTTAAATACGTTATGGAATAGATTAATGTTTAAGTTTTCACTGTTTTAAGTCTTTATAGTATCTTTTTATGTTAAAAAGAAATTTCAAAAACAATTTTCACATTTATGTTAATTAAAATGAGAAATACACAATCATTAGTAGTACTACAATAATATATAATTATTATTATTATATTATTCTAAAGCAAAAAAAATAGCTTTTCTTTCCTATATTGCATTCAATGTAGATATTCCTTTTTTCTTTTTTTTTAATTATATAGTAAGTCAAAATTATATAGTAAGTCAAAAGTCAAACTTCACTGAACGCAAAATACTAACTAAAATACTTACATAATAAAAGTGGGTTTTTTATCATTTCCTTTTTACTTTTAAACATTTCAAATAATAGTTTTCTGCAAGGTTTTGGAGATAATCTTTATTTGTGTCTTTTTTTCTGCGTCCTGTTAATATTTTATTAATATCTTTGCAATAAGACATAATAAAGAATTTTAGTGTATAGCTGTACAAAAACTCTATTAGGCGATTTTTGTGGAAATCACATTTAACAAGATGGTTTGAGTCTATATGATAATCTATGACAAGTCTAATATATTGCAATAAGTTGTGGCAAAAAAAATTGTCTTTAATGACTTCATAGAAAATATCTTGGATTTGTGATATGATATTTATAAAATTTTCACTGGGATAACAAAGCCAACCACGGCGGGAATAATCTCTATATCTTAAATATTCTTGATCCTTATTTTTGTTAAACAAATAATTGTTACAATTTCTACAATTGCTAAAAATTCTTTTCTTACATACTTTTAAGAAAAACCCACTTACATATGTTAGTGAATTGATGGCTTTAATATTTTTTTTTTTTCACTTAGTGGTGTTATTTCAATTAATAAATGGTTTATATCAACCTGTTGGACTAGCTCATTTTGATTTACTTCAGGCTCTACTACCAAAGGCTCTAATCCTACACAAAAGTCTTCTTCACAATTATTACCCACACTGTGTACACTTGATAAATTGTTTATTAACAAAGCCGTATAAGCAGACTGAAATGCACTTGGACTTGGATTTACATTTCGGCATCCATGACTTCTGATTGCTCCGAAAAAATTTTCCAATGGGTCTTGGTTTAGGTGTCTTGTCCAGATTGATGTTATGTTCATACTAGCTAATTTTTTTACTAAGTATTGTAAACCTTCAATAGTCCATATAAAATTCTGCAATGTTGGCGTTGCTTTTGATTTACCTTCATGATCCACAAATTTCATTGTACTCATAACTTTCTTGGTCTCTCGCCACAACTCATGGTGTGGAGATGTAGGAGTCACTGGACCTGAATATTTTTTTCCATGTTTTGCTTTCTTTTTATAGGACGAATTCATGGAATCAAATAATTCGTCTATTATTATTAAAAGATCAGCAGTGTCTGTAGATTCAGGTGGAATAATTTGGTTTTCTGAAATTCAAGACATAAATATTTGACTTATTTCAGTTAAAAGAGAGATGGAATTAATAGATAGTCTTAGATAATAATAATTACCTGCACAAAAGCCCATTACCAGTCCAACAGTTTGGCTGAAAATCTGGCTGGCAAACTTCACTTTCATTTTTGCTATTTTCTCTTTAACAACATGCTGCTCTGTTAAGTTAGGGACAAGCCTTAGACCTTTGTAAGCTAGGTTTTGTGTATAAAGCTTTTCTATATAATTCCAACTTGCTCTACAGACTTTTCCTTCTCTATTAGTAAATATTAAGTCTTTTAGGAGCAAGTTATTCCTAATTCCCTTCAATAAATGGGGAGGATCATATAATGGAATGATTTCATCACCATTTACCTCAAAAGTATTTTCTTTAAGTTCCTCCCCATTTTTCAGTTTTTTTGCTCTATTTTCGTCAACTAAACTCTTTATAGCTTTACGGTTATTCGTCCCCTGGTCACAAATAGTAGCTATGATGTTAAAACCAGCCTCTTTCACTCTTTTTATAATTTCTACTATATAATTTTTTAAAGTGATTGAACTAGTTGCTCCGGAACAAAATGTGTAAGCTATTGGTTGCTTGAAATTTTTAATCACGCCTCTCAACATAAATACTAACGCATGATTTGCAAATTTAATAGTATTTTTCTCCTCTACAAGACCATTTATTTTATCGTGATTGATATTATAACTGATGTAGGGTTGTAAAGCCACTTCATCGAATAGCAGTATGCATAGTTTATTATTAATATTCGTAATAGTTGATGCTTTTTTCTTCAATTGTGCGAAGACTTTTTCATCATAGAATGGTGTTATGGTGGCCTTTCGTACCATTTTATCTAATGTTTGTGGAGCCGGTAAAAGCATAATTTTTCTTAGAAATCTGTAACTCTTGGGACTTTGTTTATAGATTGACAAAGCCATAATTTTTTCTTTTATAGTGAAACGACGACCCTGGTCTTTTTTTTTGGCTTCCCGAAATTGTAATTTAATAAGCGTGCTTCCAGCACTGCTCATTTTTTCTAAAGTTGTATGGAATTTTTTGTTTGTGATAAGATTTTGAGCCATTTTAAATGACTTACTTAATTTATGGTTTTGGCTACGGCTTTTACTCAATTTTATTTTAAGGCTTCTTAATTTGTTATATAAAATCTGCTCTTGTCTGTTGATTAGATGTTTTTTACACCTCTTTTTTAGACAATCTGAAAAAATGTAAAAAGAAATTCATAATTTTGTCTATCATATACATGAACAAATAGCATATATTATTCACTGGGTCAACAACCGATTTACATGACCTTGCATTCATATGATGTAGACGTAGAATGTAACTTCCAATAGATGAATTTTTTTTAAGTCTGTCCAGCCTATGCAATGTAAATAAACAATCAAAACTTTCCTCTTAATAATATTAGCATATATGTACAGACACACCTGTTTTGTAATGGTAAAGATTTAAAAGTAATATTACCTGACAAAGTTGATTTTTTCTCAGGTTCTTTACCATGCCCGATATCTAAAATATTAATCTGCGATGGTAAATTGTCAACAGATCCTGCAAAGATAAATTATGGATAAAAAAGGAACTGATAAAATAAAGCTGACTATACACTTGATTACTGAATAAAGCAGAATTAAATTTAATTGGCTTTAATAGATGAAGATTTTATATCTTGGCATTGTATTTAGGTGGTACTGCTCTCATAGCATATAACATGGTACAGCATTCACCATATTTGTAATTTCATTCAAAATTGGTCAATTGATATTAATCTTTATTTATAACCTATAAATATTAAATTAAATTAAATTTCGGACAACATCACATTGATCAGATTCCGAGGTAAGTAGCTTATGCACTTTTGTTACGGATATCAGAAACAACGGGGGAATACAAATATATACATAATATAAATAGAAAACACCCAGACACAGAACAGACATAATTGTTAATCTCAAAAATGTTTGTCCTGGGTGGGGATCGAACCCACGACTCT